CCTCACTAACTTAATAATTTTGTTATAAATGTTTACAGACGTTGATCCAAGTAAGGGAGAACAACCTACCAAATACCTTCATATCCTCACTAACTTAATAATTTTGTTATAAATGTTTACAGACGTTGATCCAAGTAAGGGAGAACAACCTACCAAATACCTTCATATCCTTGCTTGCTTCTACAGTTTGGAAAGATGGCGCTTCTGCCGAAACCTCGCATCTGTAGCGACCTTCAGAATCCAGGTCTATGTCGTTCAGATATACCTTATCTTCTCCTGACTTAGAGAGCTGAAAACAAACGGAAATTAATAACTTATCTCTCCTTCTTGTTTACTTAACGTGACATAAAAAAGTAGTTTTAAGTTCATAGTTTTGAAGTATCATTCCTTTAGATGTCACATTAACGTAACTGTTGTGTCATCTTTATAAAACATGAATGTCTTATGGTACGATCCTATAATTTAAAAGCCATATTTTCAGAAATTCTAGTAATACAGTCACCGGATTAGGTTACTTATCAGAGCGAATGAATAGATACTCTAAGTATCATTAGTTATCTGAGAACAAAACCCTCAACTATCCAAGAAAATGAACCGAGGATTCGTAGATATTTGTAATTGGATCTATGTTATACTTTTACAACACAACAGCAAAAATTATATCGTATTAATTAATGCAACTACGTAAAATGACAGCTGTAAAGTTGTTGACTAAAATATCTTGAACAATTTGTAAATTTCGTCTGCCTTTTTTTTTATATCATAATTTTCCGATAACTACGATATTTTCACATTACAATTTCCCGATAGAGGCGATCTTTGGATGTTACAATTTCCCGATAGAGGCGATCTTTGGATGTTACAGTTTCCCGATAGAAGCGATCTTTAGATGTTACAGTTTCCCGATAGAAGCGATCTTTGGATGTTACAGTTTTCCGATAGAGGCGACCTTTGGATGTTACAGTTTCCCGATAGAGGCGATTTTTGGATGTTACAGTTTTCCGATAGAAGCGATCTTTGGATGTTACAGTTTCCCGATAGAGGCGATCTTTGGATGTTACAGTTTCCCGATAGAGGCGATCTTTGTATTTCATAATTTCCTTGTAAAAACAATTTTGGCTATCAAAACTTCTACACAGCACACGGATAAATAACATTAACGCGTACAACCTATTATAATGATACTCAGATTTTGTCTGTCCTGAAAATGCGCGCGCACTTCATTTCAGCGGATGTAAATATAATTTAGAATACATTTTTTACAACAACATATTAAAAGTTTATCAAAGCTTTAGAAAGGTCGAACGTTCGGTCGTAGAATAACAGTATAACTTTATTTATTGATTGTATTAAGTACGGTAAAGTTTAGTCCTAACTAAACTAATGTTAGGCCTAAGATAAGTGGACTCGTAGATTTCAGTGTCTGCGATTATAGTTTTTTTGTTGTTGTATTATTCTATAAATCCTGTATTTAAAGAAGTACTGTTGTATATTTTGTGGGTCTCTGTAGATGTAAATAATGATTGGCTCGGAAGTTTGCTTTTTCTTTAAAAGTGGTTGATGTGATATTACTTTTTAAAACGTCATAAGTCCTTCAAAGGTGGCTTTTATATAACAAGTTTTAAAATAGCTTTCTTCACTGGGCCTACAGCTAAGGTCAAACCCTGGAGTTATAAACCTTTCAAGCTTATATGTATCATTGCAATAAAAGGATATTATAAAGTGATTTAAAATAGCTCTTGTTACTTGAGTACCAGAGTACTAGTTAATGAGGGTAATACTCAGAAGTAAAGTAGCAGTAATTATATTCGAGAAGGCCCCAACTGTATATTCAATTTTTCGTTCAGAGTAGGATCGCAAAATATCAATTAAAAAAAAAACACATTGTAAGAAATGAAAAACAAATGTGAAAACATACTTTATTACTTCGCGTTCTGCATCAAAGGACACGCAATGATCTAGATGGAAGGGAAATAGGACAC